AACCATGAATGGGAAGGACTTATAATCCATTGACGTAAATATACGAAGTATAGTCAAGATGTAAAATGTATAAATCCGATGAATGGAAACAACTCAAAAATACCAGTTATGGGTATTTGAAATCCACTAATGGTTCTCTATTAAAAACCATGAATGGGAAGGAATTATAATCCCTTCATGTACATATATGAAGCATAGTCCAGATGTAAAATGTATAAATCCCATGAATGGAAATCAACTCAAAAATACCAGTAATGAGTATTTGAAATCTACTAATGGTTCTCTATTAAAAGCCATGAATGGGAAGGAGTTGTAATCCATTCACGTAAATAAACGAAGCATAGTCCAAATGTAAAATGTATAAGTCTCACGAATGGAAATCATCTCAGTAATACCAGTAAAGGGTATTTGAAATCCACTAATGGTCCTCTATTAAAAGCCATGAATGGGAAGGAGTTGTATTCCGTTCTTTCCTTGTTAAAAAATGAAAAAAGAAGACAGTAGTTTCTCTAGCAACCTTTGTGGCTTGCTGGGTGTTGGGAAAGAGATTTTTTTTTTTATTATAGATTATTTCACCCTCTAACTTGGATTATTGAGAGGAAACATAAGTGGAATATGGAGAATAAAACTACAAATTTAATCGAATGGACAGTTGAGGATGTTTGAAGAGAAATTAAAAAGACATTTAACAAAGATATTGGAAGAAATTTGAAGGTAAGATAAAACTTATGAGCTTAAGATCGGCAAAAGTGCAAACTCGATCTCTTGGAACTTCGCTCAGTTTTCGTTGAAAATATCTTTCAACTAACAGCAATTATTGAAGTTAAACATTTTTTTAAAAAGTTTTATGGACTTTTTTGGTGTTTTGGCTGCGTAACCTCTGACTGCTAAGACAGTAAGTAGCTTTCTTGACACTTCGTGCCCTCTTATACTTGGAGTTTTGCGAGGTCAAGTGCTTGCTTAACATTTCCTTATGGCTTCATTTTTTTAGAGCAGAAAATTGACGGAAAGGCTTTGTTCTTCCTCTCAAGAGAGGGATCTTTCGCTCAGTTGGATGTTTGCCGTCTCAGCACTGTAGGAGACAATAGGCCTGAAAGAATTAGTACATATCAGAAGTCCCCGGTGGAGGGTAGAAAAAAAAATGTTTACATTTGTTGATGTTACTAACATTTCTCTGTATGCATGTAATAAGAATCAAGTTTACATTAAAGAAGGTTAGATACAAGTTTTAAACTGCTTCCAATCTGATGAACATAGTTTTACTTAATTTGTTTGTAGCCATTGTTTGAACACGTTAATTAAGATGTACCATTTATAGGTAAAAAAGGAAAAAATTCTGAATATAATACACCCTGTTTTAAGGTTAAAGCTAGTGTCAGTGGGAAGTTAAAGAAACAACATGCCCGTTTAAATTGCAAAGCCTATGATAGGGAAGTTTAATATAGAAACTTGAATTGCATGGTTTCCAATTTCATCCTGGTTTTCATGTTTTCCTAAAACGGTTAAGGGTGCAACAGCTGGGTGTTTACTGTTTTATTCAGAATGGGCAAAGATATGAAAACCATAATTGGAAGCTGCAACCCAGAATGGGATGATATGAAAACATTCATGTTTTTATTTCCTAAACCACAATGGCTGTTCTCTATTTACAAAGCTGGTATAAAAGTATATAAATCATTAATGGGAAGGTTAATAAACATCCATGTTTAACATATTAAAACCCACAATGGGAAGTTAAAAAACACATGGTTGTTTTTTGAAAACCCACAATGTTTGTCATGTATTATCCACAATGGTAAATGCCATAAAACTATGATGGGAGGTTTAAGAAACATGCACGTTTTAAAACTAAAACCCAAAGTGTTTTTCATGTACTATCCACTGTGGTAAATGCCATAAAACCATAATGGAAAGTTAAAGAAACATGCATGTTGTAAAAATGAACCCATACTGGTTTTCAAAGATTAACCATTCATGTTTTCTTCTTGAAAACCATTGATGTTAAGAATTCAGCTTTTCCAATGGTTTTGACAATGGTATATCACACAATAACCATTTAAAAAACACTAATGTTTCTTTGCAAAATTTCCCTGTGCCCATCCCAACAGCAATGACTAGTACAACCTCCAACACAAGTAGAGACTCACATCTCTCTTTAGTTGGTCTTGCTAACTCAGTGAGATCAACTTTACATTGCAATTTTCAGAGGGGCAGCCATTTTTAATGACAGCATTTAACATTGAACACTAGAGCTTTTATCTTAGCGATTATTCTGATGCTATTGTGACTAAGTTTTTGTAATTTGGCTGGCCAATTAGTTACACTTCTAGTCAACTTGCCCACGCATCATTTTCTAATCACCTCTCCACTCATCGCAATCCCCAGCTTCTGCGTGATTTTGTCGAACAGGCACTTAACTATAAAGATATCATTAGACGTTTTTGGTTTAATCCTTTTAGTGTTGACTGTGTTATACCTCCTCTACAATGTGTTCTGAAACGAGACTCCAGCATTCCATGCATGGTTCACAATCTCAGCTTTCCTCCCAGACAGTCTGTTAATGATGGCATTAAGCCTGATACCTATTTAGACGCTCCTTTTAAATTACATTTACCAGGCCTTGACAAACTCGTTGAGTTTATTAATTTAAAGGGTGTTGGTTGCCTTGTTTTCAAAAAGGATCTCACGCAAGCTTATCAAAAAATTCCTGTGGATCCACACAATTATCACCTTTTGGGCTTTACGGTCAATGGTCAGTTCTATTTTCACACTGTTATGCC